AAAAAAAAAAAAAAAAAAAAAAAAAAAAAAAAAAAAAAAAAAAAAAAAAAACTTTTATGATTCAACGTTTCGAACGGTTCCCATGCAGTTAATGGCTTTGAGCGTTTCAAATTAAAAGTTAAAACCCCTCGTAAATTAAAATAAAAAAGAAATTTAAACTTCTTTTTTTACAAGGAAAAAACAGACCAAAGATTTAATATATATATATATATATATATATGTATGTATATTTATTGCACGAATAGAATCTCAATTAAATAATAATACAATTATCATAGCATTTTATATTAGGCATAGGTGCGATAGTTGATGTGTAGCAAAACTAATTTAAATATATAATCTTACCTAAAATATCATATATTATAATTTTTATAAGAGATGTCTATTTAACTTTTGGTGTTAGGATAATACTTTCGATGGATAGATGTAAAAAAAAAATTCATTATAATTTTTCGTTCCTGTTCTTGCTCCAATATTTACAAAAATAAATGAAGAGTTTTATGGAGATGAAAATTGAAATAGGAAGCGGGATGAGGACGCTCCCCACTTCGAGGACATCTCTAATATTTACCCTCTACATATTAAATTAATAAAAAAATATGTTAGTGAACCATGTTATAATATATTGATAGTATATTTTATCATATAATTAAATATCAACTTCAACCGAGTTATTACAATGTTTCTCTTTTCCCTAAAAGATTATAGGACGAGATCTCTTACCATATATATTAGTACTTTGTTGAGGAAAAAAATTACATATTTCCAAATTATTTTCTATGGACCAAGAGTAATTTGTAAGAAAATAATTCAAATGTGTAATAAATTACAAAAATAAATAAATTAGATAAGGCAAAAAAAATATTCATTAAGAGCCGCATTTAGCCCTTTAATAATTGTAGCTCATTAAGATTATGTGCAATGCAAGGCAACATTAAACTATACATTTATTAGCCGCCATATTCAGACCAATATCATAATTCCACGTACTCATTGAACCCCAATAATTTAGTCTTAAGTTCATTAAAAATTAGGTTAATGATCAGTCTAAGTATATCAACAAATCAAAGGTCGATCGATAAACAAACAAGATGATAATCCAAAAAAAAGCTCAAAAGATCGATCATCTAATAATATCCAAAAGTGTAACACTTATACTACAAATCAGTAAAATCAAATTCATTTCACAAATTAAATTTCTTGTTTAAACCTCATGGGAAGAGAAGCTAACCAAACGACCTCTATGACGGTCTTGACAACCGTATAATTTTTATCAATCCAATTTGAAATCTAAATAACATCTAAACAACCGATAGTAGATAGTAATTAAATGATCGCTAATATATAAAAAGGTGTATGATTGTTTCATAGTCATTGCCTTTAACTTTTAAAGATAATATGATAAGGATGAGACAATATTTTATATTATTTTGTTCTAAGTCGACTTTAATTTACTATTTGTATCATTATATGATTATATATCTATTATTCAAAGTTTTAATCCATCTATAAAACTAAAAAAAAATATAACATTTTGTCATAAAAAATGCATAAAAAATAATTAATTTATGTTATAAAGATGTTCATTAAATTATTTAATGAATATATCGATAATAAAATAATAGTTACATAAAAAAATGCATATCTCATCATTACTAATAATGTATGGTTGAAAGACTATTAATAAACAAGCTATTATCATTGCGTTCTATGGACCTCAATTGAATTTAAAGTCTAAGATATTATCTTTTTTAGACTTTTCCTTCCGAGTTTTTGCTAGAGAGAGGTTTCCACACATTTATACAAAATGTTTCGTTCGATCTCACAACACACCTCCTTTGGGGGCCAACGTCCTCACGAACACTTGTTCCCCTCGTCAATCGACGTGAGATCTCACATAAAGTTTGTTCATAATCAATACCAAACGTAAGACGTTTTATGCTGAATGAACTTATGAATGAGCTTGATGTAAATATTAAGTAGAGAAAATGAAGAGCCTAAGCCAACCAACTATAAAGATGTTTAGAAGAGGTCTTAGAAATATGAGCATTTACAATTTAGCTCCTTCCCCTTGCAACCATAATTATACATCCATTTGGGGATGGATATTTCTGGTGTAGTATACAGGTAGGTACTCACATTCTAGTCAAAATAAAATATTTAGTTGGTTAGAAATGGTAGCAGCTCAAACCCGAGTCTCAATGGCAGTCGAGAATTCCCGACGCCCTCGTTGAACTCGGTTCCTCGGTCACCAGCAACAGGACAGTTAGCACCAGCAATGGTGTCAAAACTTGCTGGTACTTTCCAACCCACCAAAAGGAGCTCTACAGCTGATGACCTCTTGTCATTCATGAAGCTTTTGATGGACTATGGTTTTTTGAAAAATCGGGCAACTTCCTTGTATAGATTTTCTTCTTCAAAGGGTTTCGAGACGTAACCATTCATACCGCATTTCAGGCATTCTTCGTACGTAGCATGAATCACGTCTGCAGTCATTGCTAATATTGGTATAGGCCGTTTGCCTTCTGTTGCAGACAATCCTCCTTTGTTTGCCTCGACCTCCATTGTCCTGATACGACGAGTCGCCTCAAACCTGCAGTTTCGACAACACTATACTCAAAGTTTACTCCAGAAATTCTTGGTATTCAGATCAGAAAAGCTTGTTCAAGAGATCTGATTCGTGTGTTTTTTAAGCTAAGACACCAAAGGGGAAATGGAGAGTTGTTAGAACATACCCATCCATTTCAGGCATTTGAATATCCATGAAGCAAGCATCAAAATTATGCGGTAGCTGAAGCAACTTCAGTGCAGATTTCCCGCTATCTGCACACTCAACATCTGCACCAAATTTCTTCAGAGCGCCTGCAGCGACCCGACGGTTTACTCGGTTGTCATCAACAATTAAGATTCTCTTGCCACAGAGAAGGCTCTGGAGGAAAGCAGAACCATTCGGCCGTCTCTGATTCTTAACCCCGAGTACTTGTTGAAGACAGGCAGCCACCATAGTCGCCCTCAACGGCTTCATGATCACGGTGTCTGCAAAACCTGCTGCTCTTGCCTTGTCTAGTTCAGCAGTGGCAATATTGGTAGCGAGAAGGATCAGCTTTGGAAACTTAACCGAACTACCGTTCGGTTTCCAGTTCAGATGATGAATGATCCCACATTCCTCATCAGAATTTAGTATGTCCTTTTCAACTAAGATCATATCTGGAAGGATTGTGTTTCTGCAACGAAACATGCTTTTAATCATTCGAAATCAATTTATAATCAAAAGAATAAAAGAGAAGGGCTTACCTTGGCAGTGTGGATCCATTTTCTCTGAATAAAGAAGCTGCCATGTTGATGCTATTGGTGACTTCAACTATGATACCAAGTCTCTTCAAATGATACCTGGTTACAGAAGCTCGTACATGTTTGCTATCAACTACTATTGCTTTCATTCCTCTAAAACTGGGGGGAAGTTCTTCAGAGTTGGGCTTTTTCATATCATTCATCGAGTTTTTCTTACATTTTCCAAATACAGCAGTGAAGGAAAACGTGCTTCCAATCTGAGGCCGGCTTATGAAGTTGATCTGACCACCCATTAACTCAACTAAACATTTGCTGATACTCAAACCAATACCAGTCCCTCCATAATTTCGGGAGGTCGAGCTATCTGCTTGCATGAAGGGTGTGAAAACTCGATTTTGGGCATGTAAAAGGATCCCAATTCCAGTATCCTCCACACTTACCATCAAAGTAACATGATCACAACCCTTGTTGGTAACTGCTGAGTTGTTTGAAGCGGCATTCGACTGGAAGTTGTCGTCAGCGATTAGATGCTTGAAGTTATCCCAACTGTTCTGATCATCGGCTGCCTCGCGTCCACTCAAAGTTTGAAATTCACGACCATCCAATACGAATAAGCCACTGTCGGATATTCCGTTGACGTATTCCGAGTCCATGGAGACTTTTGAATTCTCAGCTAGGTGTACTTTAACAAATATATGTCCTCTTTCAGTAAACTGGAAAAAAAATGAAGCTTTTTTATGCTGTTTCCAACCAGTTAGACAATAATAGTCAAAAGAAAACGCAAATAATCCGAACTCGTTAGCAGAAGATGTACTAAAAGATTAAGCGTTTATATTGGATTCGAATATGGAAATACAATCGAAAAAACACACTCACCTTAACAGAGTTACCCACAAGATTTGTTATAATTTGTCTGAATCTTCCAGGATCTCCAATTACAATTTCTGGAACTTTATCAGAAACAAAAACTGCCAGCTTCATTTCCATATAGATGTTCAATTATGGTTGAAATCACCATGGCAAAAAGCAATGAAGTTATCAATTAACATGACATGTAACAAATAGGCAGCAAACGTGTTTATTTGAAAATAAATGATGTCCATACAGCCTACCTCCAGACCCTTTTGTCTGGACTTCTCGGAAAATAAAGATAGCACGTCATCAAGTATTGATCGAATGTCGAATGGAACTGCTTCCAGTTCTAACTTTCCAGCTTCAATTTTTGCCCGGTCAAGAACCTCATTTATTAATGCTATCAATGCCTTTCCACAAGCCTGGGCAGTTTGAGCATAATCCTTCTGTGTGGAACTTAGATCTGTATCCAGAAGCAGAGCAAGCATTCCTGAAATTGATGCATACAAAGATAATAGATTTGAGTATCCTTTGTACACGTAAAACCAGCCGATTCGGTAAAAGCAAAGCGAGGCAGGAATATACGCACCGAGGATGCCATTCATTGGTGTCCTAATTTCATGAGAAACAGTTGCAAGAAACTGAAACCAAAATAAAAGAGAGATTTTAATCAAGAGAAGCAGCATCATATATATGTGTCAGTATGTTTAAGAACATACACAAAATTCAATGCAGAATTCAAGAAAATTGAATTCACCACTTACAACAACTAAGTCAAAATGCATTGATATCGCAAAGATATAACAAGGTCATAATCAAGATATTTCCATGTTTATGATAGGAATCACGACCCTCCACAATGGGATGATATGTCCACTTTGAGTATAAGCGCTCTCATGGTTTTGTTTTTGGTTTCGCCAAAAAGCCTCATACCAATAGAGATATGGATCATCCTCTTAATTAGCCGATGTGGTACTCCCAACAACAATACTCAACAATCCTCCCCTCGAACAAAGTACACCATAGAGCCTCCCCTGAGGTCTATGTAGCCCTCGAACTGCCTCCCCTTAATCGAGGCTCGACTCCTTTCTTTGGAGCCCTCGAACAAAGTACATCCTTTGTTCGACACATGAGTCACTTTTGACTACACCCTCGAGGCTAGCAATTTCTTTGTTCGACATTTGAGGATTATATTGACATGACTAAATTAAGGATCTAGCTCTGATACCAGGTTAGAAATCACGATCCTCTACAATGGTATGATATTGTCCACTTTCAGCATAAGCTCTCATAGTTTTGTTTTTGGTTTCCCCAAAAGACCTCATACCATCGGAGATATATTCCTTACTTATAAACCCGTGATAATCCTCTTAATTAGCCAATGTGGGACTCCCCAACAACAATACTCAACCGTTTATGTTTTTGGGTAATGTAGAGGTTTAGCTATCATATTCATTTAACCTCTTATTATGCTCTCTGCTTTGAAGCCATATTTTCTACAACATACATAACTCGAACATAAGATTCATTTAGAACTTTCATCCCAACTATCCTTTTCTCTCCCCCCTAATTCCATCCGTTTCCTTTTCTATTCGAGTCTCTAATTTTTTTAGTTCCTAAATGACCTGATTGGTGGTACCTGGGATTTTGCTACATCGGCAGCCTCCGCTCGAACTTTCAGTACTTGCATTTCATGAAAATCATCTTCAACCTTCACAATGTGAGTTGCTGCACCATACAAAATATATCCAACTAACAAACCGATCACGAAGAATAAGAATGCAGTAGTTAGGGCAGTCCAGGATGTGGGAGCCCTCTGCTGATATCTGCACCATAACCACATGAGGAAAGCAATAAGTCACTGAAGCAAACACTCCACATTAGAGATGTACCTAATATGGCAGAATCTTTTACCTACAAATCATCAAATGCTTCCTGAATGGATCTCCGAAATCAAGGCTGCTCTCATGTGAAAGCGACAAGTCACCATCTTGATATTGATGACCATACATCACGAGAAGATCAGAAGAGTTCGTGACATCATATACATTTACCAAAATGGCCTGATTCCCTGCAAGCTGCCCAAGCAAGTTCTCCACGAGTGACTCAACATCAAAGGCTCCGCCAACGTAGCTGCTTTAAGATAAGAAACAATTCAACATATCTGGCACATATACTTTCACCTCTAATATGATGCTAAAGCTCAAAGATTTGAAAAAATTAAGGTACATGTCGCTGAGAGCCACTGTTCTATATTTAATGATGAACAAACAAAGCACAGATGAATTCACATTTCTTATTAAACTACTTCATATCCAGACTGACCCTGCTGTTGCTTCTATCCGTTCTTCTTCAGTCGGTATGGATGGCAATTTGAATTTGTAAACAGGAAATGTCAAAACAACTCCAAGATGATGGGAACCCAGCAGCCTGAAGGGTCTTGTTAAGACAGCCTTTCCTGTTGCTCTAGCCCTCAAAATATTTTCCCGGTCCTCCTGCGTTGCATCAGAGAGAAGCAATCTACCAAATGAGGAAGGCAAAACGATATATACAGACATGCCATTTTTATCCAACATATAAGCTAGAATAGCAACATTTGCTCTACCTCTCCTGACATCATATCCAACGATTCAATATACGAGACTGTTTCTTGAGAAAATATTACTGGTGCATATTCATCTCGATCGGGCGAAGGTTCCTTTTCCATTGTTCTTATCATCCACCCGTGTTGCTTTTCGAAGATATCCCTCTCCGAATGAATCACTCTTTGTGCATACGCCACCCCACTGAGTAGAGGCCGTTCAAAAGCAGTTCTGGCTGTGTATTCTGCAAAAGTTTCCTGCATTGTTGAGTTTTGGGCTCGTTAAACCACAATGTCATGAGGGGAAAAAGACATTGAAATGCCAGTTTGCTCAAGAAAATGCACAGAATTGAACATGTTTATCTTGCAGGGTTGAGATTTCCCAGAACTATAAGAAGAATAAACCAATGTACAGAGGCGAAGTACAAACCTGATCAATAGCAGAAGGGTTTTTGAAGTAATGAAAGGTGGAAACAAGGACAGCCAAGGCATGAACATGGTTAACACTAACATTGAATTGATCCTGCAACATCCTTGCCCTCTGCTCACACATACTCCCCAACACTTCATTCCTCCTCACTTTGATATCAGCATCCATGCCATTATAGATTAACATGCTGATAAACGCCATCCCCATAATCCAGAACAGAAGATACTTTCTAAGCCAAGCCCTGTTAGCTTGAACAAATGTGTAACCCTTCTTTGTTGTTCCCATTTGCTCATTCCACTTCAAACCCACAGAGTTATCGCTCACCTGCATTTTCACTTCCTTTTCTTCTTCATTCCTCTACCAGAACTAGGCCAACCTGAAGAACCAGCAACATTCTTGAGCTCGCTCACTTTCTTTCTGAAAACTCCTCCCACAGTTTCTCCTGCAATTAAACAGAAAAAGCAAAAGGTTGACAAGAGGCAGATTGTCACCTGTTAGATTTGAAGCTCAGAAAGCAAAACCGAAAAAACCCATTTCCTTTTTAAACCCATTCCTAGATTAGGGAGGAAAGACGATGAGTCGAGTCAGAATCAATAAAGAGAGCCGTTCAATTCCTAGAGACAAGCCCGAGTCTGAAAAGATGGGGTGTTCAAATTGTGGTCAAAAATGAAAATAAGAGGCAAGGGAGAGAGAAAAGCCCACATTCCAAAGAATTCCTCTTCATATACTTTCTGGTCAATGACGTCTTTGCGTAACAAAAAAGGAAACAAACAATAAAAAAATGCAGAACAGTGTAAGCTAATCATGTCCATCTACTCCTCCTTCCTCAAGGCGTGAAGTTCAGTTGTTACCCATTTCACTTCCATTAAACAATCAAATTCATAGCTGAACGCTCCGCTGCTCCCAAGACAAACCACACACGCGCAGCGAAGAACACAAGAAGAAACACACACATACACACAGACACAGAGAGAGACAGAGCAGAAAGAAAACAAAAAGAAAACAAAAAGAAAAGGAAAGGGGGAAAGTGGGTTATCAAAAGAAACAATGCTTTTGCAGTTTTGCTCACCTGGGTATCACAAAAGATGGAAAATGCAACCAATGATTTGCAGAGATGATGGAGGAGGAAGAAGGTCCTCCACAGATCGATCCGGAGTGGCTTTTACCGCAGAATTTCACATGGGATTTCTTCAATTGCTCCCCCCGATTGTTATTTCCCTTTCTTGATTGTTCTTTGGAGCTCAAGAAAATTGAAATCAGAAACGATTTCTGGGATAACTTTGGTGTCTCCTAAATCGCTCTCCTTCCCAATACTCTTTCACTATGGCAGAAACCCACTATGTGTGCCTCTATTCCTCTCTGGCTTTGTGTACCTTTTTTTATAAAATATTATTATTCTTCTTCCCCTCTCTCTCTCTCATCTGCTGTGAGCTCGCTTTTTGTAGTGAGTACATACAAGTAGGCTCCTCCTCCATTAACAAAACAGAGAAGAGCGGAAACAGCTTCAACCTGAATGAAAGAACCCAGAACCAGAAAACTCAAAATTTACAAGTTTTTCTATGGGGTTTTTAGTTTTATTGGCTCTCTCTCTCTTTACTGTGTGGGAGGGAGGGAGAATCAAAATGGTGGGAAGGGGAAGAAAATCTCCATCGCAAATCTGTGTGATAATGACATGCCCACATTTGCTAGCTCGGATCTCATTCCCCTTGAATTTACCTCTAACCCCCTCTCCATTTCCTAACTCTTTTTTTTATTGCTTAAATAACTTATTTGTAAGATTAGATTTATCATAAAAATATATCTTTTAAACTATAAATTTCTTTTAAAATACATTTAACATTACTTTTTATAATTCTACCAAAATACCCTTTTAACTTGAAATGTCTTTAAAAATTCAATTTCATTAATATCCTTAATTTTTTTAAAAAAAATTAAAATATATTTAAATATTTTCAAAAAGTTAAAAAATACTCTTCTACAGGAATCAATAAATACCCGTTAACTTTCAAAAATGAAATAATCTATAAAATGTAGATAATTTTTATTATACTCGTAAAAACATTTTAATTTTTTTTTTAACTTATAAAATGTTTAAAAGTATTAATGGAACTTTTCAAAATTCTTTTTTTTTTTACTTTTTATGTATTATTGAAACTTTTAAGTATATTTTTTACTAAATTAGATTTTTTTATAAAAAAAAATTAGATGCTTTTAGTAGGTTTCCACTTTGAATTTTGTTAACATTACCATTAATTTATATCATTAAAATCATTTACCTAACGAATTTTATACCTTTTATCGAGTCCATTTAGGTGAATAAATTAAAAACATCACATATGGTGTCTAGAACAATATATATTAATTTTAAAGAATTAATCAAAATCTAGACATTGTTTTGAAAAAATGAAATTATTATTTTTAAATAAATTGGAATATTTGTCATCTTCTCTTTGGGACCCACATTTTGAAGTTTGAAATCAAGGCCGTCCAAAAATCATCAATAGGCCACGTGTAGAATGCAGACCACTCAATCGGTTAGAGGTTAGAGTCGGCACATTTTTTTATCTCTTTAATTTGTTGTTGATTAAAGTTGAGGCAAAGTCAAGGATTGATTTTTCTCTTTAATAATAATCAAAAAGGATAAAAAAAAAAAATTGACTTATTATAATAAACAAATACTTTATGACGAATACATACATATTCACATTACCACATTAATACAAACACTTGATCATAACATAATTAAATTTCAAAACGTTCAAATTAAAATATAAGTGGAAAAATTTAAAATTCTTCTATTTAGGTAAATCAATTCCTAAAATGTTTCTGAAATATCTATTTTTGGGGATATTTAACTTTATTTATGCTACATATTTGCCTTTAATCACATCATAAATAGAAGCTAATAGTCTAAAATAGGTAGAGGTGATTTTTAGGGGGCAAATCTTCGTAAAGTCATTGCATAAATGGTAGAGAAAGAGTTTGGCCTTATTTCAAAAAGCGGAATATATCTTAGTGGAAGATTGTATGGGTGCATCAAATATTGATATTCATTTTCATTAATTAAGATACACATAAACAAACTCAATCATACGGTTGCTTAGAATCATAGATTTCCATAATTTAGCTCGATTCAATGGATTATGTTGATCGTCTTAACCATTTGGAAGTCTATATTGACAATAATTGATTCATATGCTTTCGAGATTCTTGTACATTGCTGCCTCAAAGGTTCTATCTCACCTTCTACTTATTGGGCTTCATGTATTAACAAGCGAGAATAATAACTACAAATAAAAGCATGAATGGTACGATTCCTCTATTACCCCAGAAGAAAAGGGGCGATCTAGTAGTTCATAGTTTGTAAAGATACGTTGTTATTTTGTTACTATTTCAAATGTCGCCAATTGGATGGACGGAAGAAGATGGAAGTGCGAAAAGAGAAGGAGAATGTAAGAATGAAGGGAAGTTAGGTGGAGAGAATAGTGTGGGAAGTGTGTTGAGCAATATTGTATGTAGGGATGTTTGGTTTGTCGTTTACTGAAAAAGATGAAGAAATTGATGAGTGCCATTCAAAGTGTGAAGTTTTTATTGTAGAGGGTGTCGGCCATGTGCCTCTTTTAATTTCTTCCAATATTCTTCAATTCCTACCTTCTCTCTCTCCCCTAATCATGTGTTTTGTAGTAATATTATGAATGGATTCTGACACGTACGAGTACAATTTGACGTTTAGGTTAGTATTTATATCATTACAACCCACGTCTATCTTTTTGGGATGCCTTTACAGACTTTCCTTCAAAGTTTTAAAATGTGTCTGCTAAGAAGAGGTTTTCATACTCTTATAAAATATGTTTGGTTTCCGTCTCTAACCGATGTGAGATCTATGTTGATTTCAATACTTTCGCTCAATAACTCTTCACTCTCGTGTCATTCCCACAATATGATGCTCGCATTGGCTACCACTAATCGTTCTTGGTGTAAGTTGAGCATATGTCAATTCAAGTCACTCATTAGAAGGGGAGAAAATGGTGGCAAAGGAAGTCAAACATTTGCTTATACATGTTGACCTCTCTTGTACCTTGGCTCATATAAGGAATGACGAGCTCACGACCCGCAATCTTGGATTGGATAAGAAAAAAAAAAAGGAATACGCTCAATAAGTGAAATATGAAGGAAATGCATAATTCCAAGTGGAACTAAATCGTTGGAGAAAATACTTTGACTAGCTACTAACTTAAGCATCGATGGTTGGATAAAATACTAGATTGATTGGAGCATCTTTTTTCAAAGTAAGCTCGATAAAAAAAAGACCCGGCATCATATAAGCTCAACATCTCTTCTTATGATATAGAATCATATTCAACTTGTGTTATATTATATATAAAAAAAAAAATGATAATTGGGGATTAACAATCTCTTTTAAACGTTTAATTTCAATTTGAAACACAATCTTAATGAAATCTTGAAAGAGGGTCAAAGCCATGAATGCGGAAGCAACCCCACATGTTTTTTCATTTTGAATCTTCAAAATATGAGTCCAATGCTTTTTTTTAATATTAAAAAAGAACCTTATCCACGTTGGGCCACCTTCCCTCAACCAATTTAAACTATAATTGAGTTTCATTAGGTGTCAATGTTCATCAAATATAATATTTTGCTACAAATAGTGGACAACTATGATATCATTATTTTTTTTTTAAAAAGGCTCCAACCCCTTTATAGATATAAAGGTAAAGCACAAAAGGGGCTGAAGATATTTTTGTTCATACTGGGGAGCATATCATTTTTCTCTTTATCGATATCAAATAATTATAGGAGTTACAAAATATTTTAAAAATTAACTTGCAATGTTTAATGAAGTTTTGTGACATTAATGCGAGATACATGCTTTTTTAAGTGTGATTATTGCTAATTTTTTAATGGGCAAAGGATAAACCGTTTATTATAAATATAAAAGAGGCTTGTTTTGTTGGCACTACTTTCCCGTCCCTTTCGCGATACATGAATGAACTGAGACTATTTATTCCAATGAAAACGATTTCAAAGATATAATGACTATAGTTAAATACTCAAACGTTTGAGTGAAGGCCCACTTAAAATGTTCCTATTTTTTCATTGAGCCCATCAAGGCCCACTTAAAATGATCTCTATTTTTTCATTGAGCCCATTCAAGACCTAATATAATAGATGTGAGAGAAAATATATATTTATTTGGGACTATATCCTAAAGAGATGAGAGACGTTTTAATGTTTTTTTAATGTTTCGAGTTTGATACTTTAAGGAGTTGAAAATTGAGATTTATTAAATAAATATTAAGAATGGAGTTGAATGGTATTTTATTAAAACAAAACATGAAATTAAATAAAATTAACTACTAGCAAAAGTGTTTTGAGGACAGAATATTTATTGGAAATGGCTAATGGAGACATGTTGTGTCGGCATAAGCTCACGACTCACGAGTCATGAACCACGGGACGGCGCCCAATTGAAATATATTGACGATATTGCCCTTCTCTTCCACCACTTTATTACACGTGTCCTTTCCCTTTTCTTTTTCTATTTTTTTTTTCTCAATTTAAAATATACTTTTATTTTGAATTTCCATGATTTAGGGTATTTTTAAAGTTTTTTTTTCCCTATATTAAATTTTCAAAGACTATGTTTAGATACTTTTCCTTAGTGGAAGAATATATGAATTTTTTTTCAATTTAAAATGGTAGATTTAACTTTATTGCAAATACTATTTTTTTTTAACGTCGAATCTCATCCTTTTTTTTATTAAAAAAAATCCAAAATTAAAAATAGGATGACTAATAAAAATTTAACAAATTAAAAATTACTATTTATACCATCTCGATATACTTTCTTTTTAAGTAGCTCAATTATAGGAGTGTCCAAATTAAACTTATTTTACTTTAAATAATTTTATGTATGTGAGTGAAGACAAAACATACGAAAAAGAACGCATGTTGGTCTATGAAGTAACAGTCTTCACTCTTAAAAATGAAGGGATGCAGAGGAATGTTGGATACACACCGCTTAAATTCGTAGTGGTTGATGTTTTTTTTTATTATTATTAAAAACATTATGATAATAAAAGGGGATTTGATATCAATTGATATTGAATTTTTAGTTATTAAACTGAATAAATAACTATAGCAATAATAATAACAACGGTACAAACCGAAGACGACGTCAAGACGTTATAAAAACAACCCAATTTGTTCCCCCCCCAAAAAAAAAAAAATAAAAAAAAAAATTCAAAACCGTGTTGACTTTAGTGGCCACTAAAATTCTGACTTGGCAAGGACTTCCATCCACCGAAACGTGTCGTATTAATGTTACAGATGGCAATTGGTGATTGGTTTCTTTTTTCCTTTACATTCTTCAATATAAAAAGAACAATCAATAATGGAGCTAAGGCATCAATCTAATTAATCAAACCATAATATATATATATACATAAAGTTCACCCATTATAGTTTAATTATTTATTAAAATGATTAATTCGGTCACGGTGCTCTAAGTAAATCACGTTTCGTTATAAAGTGTTTATGTACAGATAATGATTTTCAATTCTTTTAAGTATTTTTTTAGTCATTTAATCTTCAAAATGACTTTTATTTAGATGTGATCTTAATTTATTCATGTACCCATTTTTTACCCGACATTAGAAAAGAAGA